AATCATGTTCCAAAGTCATATGATCATGGAACCATTTGTTTACGTAAAACATGTAAGTAGCAAGCAACACGTTTTGAAAAATTCTGTCTAAAATTTGCATGAGTGGAAGAGATATAGACATTGAAAGAGAATGTATATCAAGTTCATAGATGGCAGATCAAGAGATCTGCAGAGATGTATCCCTATAGAATACTTGAGTGACAATCCTTATAATCCCCCACAAAACATTCCTAGTGGCTATTAGAAGGGATGGAATATTGAGCTGGGCTGGCCAGGCTTTCATTCATTAGGATCTTTCTTAATTGTAGGGGTGTAGATGGCAGTGTGTGTGTGTGTGTGTGTGTGTGTGTGTGTGTGTGTGTGTTTGGCCTGAATAATCAGGTGGTTTAAAAAAGAAAAGTAGTACTGGGCTAATTAGAAGACATGATATGTTTTTGGCCTTTGTCATAGACTTGTGAGGTGACATCTCAGCAGTTCCATTATTCCATTAGTGTGGGTGTTACTGTACAACCCCCCTTTGAGTACCCAGCAGACCTCTCTGTACACTTGGAACCTCAGCAAATACTGTCTGAAGGTGAAGTAGAGGAGCAGGAGGTTGTCGGGCTGATGACATAATGTCTTAGTATTTGGGTCACCGCAGGAGGAGCACAGTGATAGGTACAAAGGATCTTTCCTGAGGGAGGTGTGAATAGTCATCTGACATCCGACAGCACCCATGCAGCACAGCCTGATTGGCCACGTAGAATGTTGGTAGTTAGATGCTCCAATCATAAAGACCCTCCTGTTTTAAATAACGTTCTATCTCGAGATAGCTTAAGAAAGAAAGAAAATATATTGTGAAGATATTTAAGCATATGATGGAATTTAAACAATTTGCACAACCAAATCTTAAAGTTTAAAAGTATGACAGTTCAAGGGATCTGCCTTTAACTCTGTTTCTGTAAGTCTCAGCTCTAATTTTGGATCAAATGTCTACTCCAGTCCTTTTAGTTATGACACATCTGTTTGTTCAGGAGAGTGTGGTAATCCCTTGATCTCAAGGAAAATAGGTCCTTTCTCCAGCCTCAGAGGATGAATTGTGACAGTTAAACAAATTTTAGTAATCTCATTTCCCTTTGTCAGTAATTGGTGTAGGGGTGGCCATGTGACCAAGTACTGATATAGGAGATGTAACAGAAGGTGGCTGGATAGGGATTTTGGGAGAGCTTTTGTTTGCCTAATAAAAAAAACAACAACAGATTTACCTGGCATGACGCTTCCTTCCTTTGTGTTACCCTTCTTCTCTGGAAGTCAGACATGATGCCTGGTGATGCAGCAGCCATCTTGTGCCCATGATGTAACAATTACCAGATGCAAGTTGTGTGCTAGGAATAGAGGGTGCAAAGGAGAAAGAGCCAAGTTCCCTCTATAGTTGAGCTGCCACACTGACACTGGATTGCACACCTCCTGCTTTGTTCTTATTTGAGAAAAATGATAGCTTATTTGTTGAAATCACAGTGCACTGTGATAGGTCATTGTTATTGTTGTTAACTTGCAACCAGATTCATTCCTAAGTGAAAAAGCTATGTGGTATAAATACAGATGTCAGGAGCCAATCCCTATGGATCAGAAAATAAGTCTCAGATCTTTAATGGGGGGAGAGGACAGGGGAGGGCTCATGAAATGGTGAGATATTCAAAAGTGTCTATGAAAGCCACCCTGGAGCTTTGAAATCTCACCACTGCTGCTGAACACAGAGGGAAACCCTCTTTGTACTAGTACACCCCTGTCCTAGATAGAATTAATCAACTCATTAACAAATTAATTTTACTATATTTATCGATCCCATTTTATTTGCTAGATATTTTTCTAAATCCTGGGAATAGATTGGAGAAGACCACAGTGATGTTGGTCTCATTAACATTCTAAAGGGAAAATAGACAATAAACAAGAGAAATAAATGAACAGAATCATTTCAGATCATGAGAAGCTCTATATGAAATATAAAATGGAATGTTGTGATAGAGAGCCGTGGGAGGGTATGTGCGTGGAAAGCAGAAGAAAGTGATATTTGAAATGAAATCTGCACTGCAGAAAGGAGCCAGCTGTGAGAAACCCGAGTGCTGAGCATTCTAGGGGGAGAGTGGCCAGTGCAGAGGCCCTGGGCAGCAATGAGGATGGCCTGCTAGAGACACAGAATGAATCATTTACAGGTGTCCACTGCACAGTGATTCGGGAGGCCACCCATGCTCTCTCATTGTAACCGTTCCAGCCACGGGCATTATGATGTATCTCAAAGCTGCTGGCCAGGCTACATGTGGCGTGACTTCCTGTCATCTGCTTCAGTTTGCCAGAACCCAGGGGATGGGATGGCTGGGGGAGGGTCTGTGCAGTAGACTGTGATCAGAGTGACTAATCATCCCCTTTCCTTTGAGAATGGACTTGTCATTCTCAGCCACATCCCTGGGCTCCCTGGGGGCTGGCTTCCCTTGGAATGAGGTCAGCCCTATTCTGGAGGGACTGGCAGGGCATTCAGGGGGCACACAGCTGCTTCAGGGCCACACACCAGTCACTCCCTCAAGCTACAGCTGCCGCCTTTGACATGTCTGTCTGTGGAAAGACCAACACAGAGCGGCTGGGAGCCTGTAGGGCCCCTGGCTCTGGCTCCCAGCCTGCCATAGCTGGTCATACCTGAGCTCATTTTCAAGTGATACTTATCAGTGAAGCAGTCACATGAGATCACAAGGTCGTCCTGTCTTGCATTCCTCATGTGTTTGGCATTACGCAGAACAAAAGTGTTGGAATGCCACCACCCCCGCTTCGAGCAGGTTGCCTACTAAGCCAGCTATCCACCTGCTTCGGTAGAGAATCCAGTTCTCTTTTCCCTAATACTTGAACTTGGGGACAATTGAAATGACTGTAATTATATCTCTGGGCTGTTAGATTTCTTCTGGGGTCCTGTGTGATTGATAGGATCCAAGGAATGATTACCTTGGGAGAATAAGGTGGCCTGGAAGTACCCAAACTACCATTTAGAAACCCCAATTCAGTGTTTCTAGATCTGGGACAAAACAAATCACACATTAACAATGTTGGAAGAGAGTTCGGTAATTGATACCCTTTCTCTTATAGAGTGGGTCGGGGGAGGCAAAACGACTTGGCCAAGGTTAATGCTACTACGAGAGAAGGCTCTTAGGGACCCACATAGGTCTTGCATAGATATTTACAGCATATTCTTGTAATGTACTGCTTTGACTTATGGAACAAAGAAACTCTCGCGTGCCAACAATGTGCACAATCAAAGTTCTCTGTGCCCCTCTCTGGTTTGATTTTCACCATCTTTATTTTTTTCTCCCTTCACAGACGAGGAAAATGAATCCATTTAGTTAGTAGCAATACCAAACTCAGGCTTAAGCCTTCCAATTTTTATCCAATGTTATTTTCAAGTCCATCTCCACTTTTGCTCTCTGAGGGTTGAGGGGCCTAGCAGAAATAGCAATAGCTGAGGTGGGGTGGAACGTATAGAAGCCTAAATCAGGTGTTCTAGCTTGCTAGGAGCTCTAAGGACAGGATTCTGATTTTCAGTGAGCCAGCCTCACCTTCACTGGCCTTCTTAGAGCCCCTGTATCGGAGGCACAGGGCCCATGCGCCTAACATAGCTTGGTGCTGTCATCTCACAAGCTGCTCCCAACTTACTTTACCGCCTCGCGGACAGTGTGGTACATAAAAAGCCCAGTCGCTAGGTCCAAATCCTGGCTCTGCTGCTGCTTCTGGACTGAAGGGCCTGATGTATGTTACTTAACCTCCCTGGTCTCCGTCTTCTTACCTGTAGAATGAGCCTAGCAAGAGCGCCTTCCTGAGAAGGCGGTGAGACTAAATGAGCTACAGCGTGGGGAAGAGGGTGCTCGGTAAATGTTAGTTGTTGCTGCATTTGCTGTTGATACAACGAAAGGAATTCTGTCACAGAACTGAGTTTTCTCCAGCAGTACTAACAAAAGTATGTTTCTAGTTCATGTCACTGGTAGGCATTCCAGGGTTAGACGTATCTGAAAGGTGTAATAATGTACAGTTTACTATTTGACTCCAGGGAATGCTCTCTCCCAGGCCCTCTACGACTAGGATTATCTTTTTCTGTCAGTGTTACTCCCTCCAACAGCAGAACGCTTTGGCTCGCCCACCTGAAAAACTGAAGCTGACACAGAAGTTTTGCTTAGAGAAGAAAAAGAAGAGCCTCTTATGTAACTTGAAGAGTATAAAGGATTCAGTGATAAAAAACCACTGTCCTGAACTTTTCCAAAGTACTTACACAGTAAAGCTCTCTGCCTAATTAATGTTCTCCAGTCGTTCACAAAGTATTGTCTTGTTTTTGTTGTAAGATAGACTAGAAAATGGTAATGAAACTCCTTCCTGTTCGATTATGCATTGGTGCTTAAAGGCTATAAAAATGCTACTGTTTCAAGTTATACACATCTAAAATACACCCCATGATTGTTTTATGAGTTCTCAGCAGTTTGACTTTAATTTGATCACGTCCTTTGAGTTGGTCTATTTCCTCATGCAAAGCTGATCTCCTCTAGAAACCCTTTGCTACTCTCTCTCTCTCTCTCTCT